TACCTAAAATAAGGGACTTGTGTATGGATGTCCACCGTATAAGAGATTGGGTATTAGTTGTACACAGTTTCAGCACTCCCCCTTAAGTTGGTGCTCAGATATTTATCAACCCCGACTTCCTTATTATTTCTTGAAAGTATATTTTGTTTGTAGGAAGTTGATTTTTTCTTCTGACAAATGGAGAGCAATTCTCTTGGCTTGAATGTTCTTTCTCACAAAATGACAATTTCTTTTTATGTGCTTAGTTCATTCATGAAATACCAGATTTGATGTGATATGCATAGCAGCTTGGTTGTCGCAGTTCATAGCCACTGGACACAAAATATTGAAACCCGCATCTCTAAGAAAAAATTTTAGTCAAATTAATTTGCAAGTTGCAGTTGATATGGCTCTGCATTCGACCTCTGCACCAGAACGAGTAACCACCAACTGTTTCTTACTTTTCCAAGTTACAAGTTCACCCCCATACAATATCATGCGATAGATCTTTAATCTACAGGACTACCTACCAATCAGCATTAGAAAATGCAATAATATCAATATGTCCATTGTTTTTCATTGAAATTCATTTTCCAATGGATGACTTAAGATACGTTAAAATCTGATTGACACCTCCAAAATGAGCAATTTTTGGAGAATTTAGGAATTGAGTTACCATACTGACCGCATAAGCAATATCAGGTCGAGTGATAGTGAGATACATATAAGGTCGAGTGATAGTGAGATACATATAAGTCGACCAACCACACATTAAAACATCCCAATATCGTTCAAAACTTTGCCTTAGTCTATTTTGGCTTTATCATTTGTCTTTTCAATAGGTTTACACCCTAAGTAGCTAGTTTCAAGCAAAAGATCTAAAACATACCCATGTGAGAGTAAGCAACCTCAATTCCAAGAAAATATTTGAGTTTTTTCAAATCTTTATTATCAAACTTCGTATGAAGGTAATCTTTCAATTTTATCATGGCATTTAAATCACTTCCTGTTATAACAATTTCATCAACATCGATAAGGACAATAGACATTCCCGGATTGCCATCTTTTTACAAACATGGATGAATAAGCATTGCTCTGAGAGAAGCCTATATCAATGAGATCTTGACTTCACTTTGCAAACCATGCACTGGGAGACTATTTAACCTCATAAGTTGCTTTCTTGAGTCTACAGACCAGAGTTTTGTTGCCTTCTTGAGGATGACCAGGAGAAAGTTTTATGTAAACTTCTTCCAAATCTCCATACAATAAGGTATTTTTTACATCTAGTTGATTCAATGACTGGTTATTGCTGGCAGCAATAAAAAGTAAAACCCTCACAATATTTAGATTAACCACAGGAGCAAAGGTTTCCTTGTAGTCAACACTATAGATTTAGGTTAATCCCTTTGCAACAAGTCTTGCCTTGTATCTCTCAATTATTTCATCACTTTTGTATTTCGTTTTATAGACTCACTCATAGCCAACTAGTTTTTTCTCTTTAGGAAGAGTAACGATATCCCAAGTATAACTTTCTTTAAAATAACAAGTTTCTCTTTTATAGCAGTTCTCTGTACTGCATGAGAAATTAGCTTCCTCGAAGCTAGTCGATTCTTCTGTTGACGAAATATTGGTAGAAAAACACAATATTTAGGAGATAATTTATTAAAATCCATATATATTTTTCAATGGTGTAATGTATTTTGTGATTGCTTTCCTTGACATGATATGTATAGTAATCGTTTAAACCATATGGAGGTTGAGTAATTCGACCAGATTGTCTTGGCTAGAAGTCTCGAGGGATTATTTCTCCCTAATATTCATTTGATTATTCCTCCTCATTGGAGTTGTATAGAGTTTCAAGAATGGATTCTTCTTGTATAAGTTGAGGTATTTCCTTATTAGGTGTAGTGCTCTTAATGATTTCGATTCTGAAATTGAGACCATTCATTTTTTAGAGATCGTGAGTAGAAGTTGTTTTGTTCATCTTCCCCTGATGATTATTAGTTTGAAAATAAGGAATTTGTTTATTGAATTCAACATTTCATGAAACATGCTTTCACCTCGTTTTGGGTGGTGAATATCCCATGAATATACATTGAAAGGATCGCTTTTTAGCAAGTTTTTCTCTATGATTTTCTGATAAATACACAGTGCATTCACAACTAAATATCTTTAAATGATGAATAATAGGAGGACAACCATGCAATATTTCATAGGGGCTACTATCATCCAAGATTCTAGTCGGCGATCGATTTATAAGATGACAAGCAGTAAGAATACCATCAAACTAGTATGATTTAGGAACATTCATTTAAAAAAGTAAGGCACATGTTACTTCAAGAAAATGTCTATTTTTCCTCTCAGCAATTCCATTTTGCTAAGGAGTTTTGACAAATGATCTGGTGAATGATCCCCTGATCAATCAAATACAAAGAAAAAATTTAGTTGTACATTCTATGCCATTATCAAGTCTAAAAAATTTCAGTTTAGTATCAAATTGATTTTTAATCATGGGATAGAATTCTTTAAAGGTAATGAAGGCATCACTCTTGACCTTCAACAGATAAATCCAAACATAACAAGTTATATCATTGATAAAGGAAATTACATATCTAAAACCAGAAAATAGTCAATTAGAGTAGGTCCTCATAAGTATGAATGAATAATATCAAAGTTATTTTTGTTGATTCTATGATAATTTTGAAATGGAAATCTAATATGTTTAGTATATTGATAGACCTCATAAGATGCAAAGGATGCATCAATATTAGAGACCGCCTACTTTAGATCTTATCAATGGATGTTCCAATCTACAATGCCATGTACTGTTTTTTATTGCATTTTTCCTGCAATTTTTCTTTTGAGGTTTGATCCAATAGGCACCCATGTGATTGGTTACTCTCACCAATCTTCTTCCCAGAGACCCGATACTGAAAAACAATATTGTTAGCAGAAAAATAGTAAAACAATTATAAGATTTTGTGATTTGGATAACTGACAATACTAAGGGAAAGAAGAGATATACAAAACTTAAGATGGTTTATCCTTAGAAAAGAGGTTAATATTCCTCCTCCACAAATTGGTGCCATACTCGAAGACATGTGTCCCAACCCTTCAAGTCCCTCACAATGGCCAGTCATATGATATGTGGCTCCAGTATCAACGATCCAGGTAAGACAATTAATAGAAGATAGGTAAGCAGAAAGATTACCTTGTGTAGCAGGTAGTATCTGAGAATAAGAAGCAATGTTCGCCTTCCCTATATATTGAAGTAACCCCTTTAGTTTGTCAACAGAGAGGAGCATCTCACTTTAAGCAACTTGAGCAGCAGGTTTCCCCTACCAGGGGGTTTTCCATGGAGATCCCAACACCTTTCTTTAGTATATTCGTACTTTTTACAATAAGTGCACTTAGGTCGACCACGACCACGACCACGACCATTATTCTCTAATTTGTCATCGGTAGGGGTAAGTTTTTTAGACTCAATAAGAAAGACTGATTTCTCAATGTTGTCATTGAGATCCTCCTTTTTAATGACAAGGTCCATAACCTTATGCCTAGTTTCTTTTTTTTGAATAGTGGTGCATGCATAGGCATAAGAAGGAAATTCAGAATCCATTAGGATTTGGATTGTAATGGCCTCATACTCAGGAGCAAGGCCTGTCAATATGCAAAGGTTTCATCTTGTTTAACTTCTTTTATTCTATTATTTTTATCATCAGTTATGGGAGTGTACTGGGACAACTCATCCCACATGCCTTCAAGCATTCTTGTGTATTTACTAAATGGTTTTCCTTGCTGCTTAATTTGGCATATATCTTGTTTAAGATGGAAAATCTTAGCTGCATTATTTTTTTATCCAGAAATCTCTTTAAGAGACTTCCATAATTCTTCAGCAGTAGGCTAGAAATACATCCTTTGACCAAATCGTGGTTCCATTGAGTTTATAGGCCACGACTTAACGAGGTTGTCTTCAAACTCCCGCTATTCATAGGTAGGATCATCAGGTTTTGGGGCTGCTTTTTTTTCCATTCACAAAACCCAACCTACATCTGTTGTTGAGATACATGGTTGTAGCTCTAGACCAAGTTTCATTATTGGTTCCATTAAGAAGTGTGGGAGTAATTTTGATATTTGAGTTGTAGTCCTCATGCACTACAATGTTTGAACCGGAATTTTGATCCCCCATTTAGAAGAAAAGAGGCTTAGAGATTACGTAATTTCATACAAAGGAAATTGGCAGCAACTATATACTAAAGATCGGTGAATAGAAGCTTAGAGATTACCTAATTTCATACAAACGTTTCAAAGAAGAATTGACGACAGTAGTGGATGAAGGTTGTGGACAGCATGCTTCTTTTGATGAACTTAATCACAACAAGAATTATCACGACTTAGTTTTATGGATAGTAAGACGGTTTGATGCTAATGTACTACTTTGTAGAAGAAAGAGCCTGAAGACAGTTGGATCGGTGCTTTGATACCATATTAAAGTATTTATAAAGAAATACTAAAAACTGAAAAAAAGAGTCAAGGAGATAAGAAGAGGAAGAAGAAGACATTGTTTTACGTGGTTCGGTCTCTTGGACCTACATCTATAGTTGAAGGGCTATTCGCCCGTGCCCGTTATTCCATTCATCAAGTATTATATACCGATACAAGATCTCAACAAAATAAAAATTGATTCTCCAAATATCTCCTAAATATGTCACAAATATATTCTACACAATTAGTTATACAAACCAATGGATTTGTTTATGGTTGTCCACCGTGTAAGGAAGGGATTTGAGTATTAGCTATATAGGGTTTCAATAATATCAAAGATGTTTTATACACATAATGTTGTGTACATAAATCCACATAAATAACGGTATCATACTGCATTCTTTAGCCGGCGTACTAGATACTCAATACTCTTACAAAAGTGTCACTAGTTTGATCGTTTTTTATATTCGAATTTATGTTTTTTCCATAGATGATTGAGTTGCAAGTTTCTCCACAAATTGCTTGTTGCATCAAATATCTGAGGGCGTGCGGCGTTGTAAAGATGCGGCTTGTGCAAAATGGTAATACCGATCTCATGGCGATGATGGTATTTCCGGAAACAAAAGGTGATGATAAGGGTATTATGGGTAAATGGTCCAGCAGCACCAATCCAATCGGAGAAAGAACAGTGTGATAGGACACAGGATAAGGTCCCATATCCAAATGGCTGCCATGGCTAGTATTTCCTTTTCCAATGTTGCCCCTCAGCGACCATCCCCATTCACAAGCCTTCAATCAAAGCCTCTCTCCAAGTTCCCTTTTCATCTGCAAAAATCAAGAGTTCTTGCCAAATTGGGTAAGAAAAGAATCTCTTGAGTTTACTTGAGACTTTTTTCCCTTTAATTTATTCAGTTGTTCATCTCTGTTGATTAATTTTATTATTAATTTCAAGCATACATTTTGCTTCAAACTTTTAATACTGAATACCAACCTACATGAAATTTTTGTGCTCTTTGATTTTTCTAACAGATTTTGCTGACAGATTTGTAACATTTTTTCTATCAGTTTGTTTGCTTTTTAATTCATTTATCTTGATTTTTATTTTATTTTCTATTTTCATGGTTAGTTATTCTATATGAAGTACTTATATTTTCGCTAAAGGTTATGGGTTGTTTGCTATGTTTAATTAAATCGAAACTTACTTACAATTGCAGGCGGAGGAGATGGCGATGCCAAGCGACTCGAAAAGAAGTTCATCACTAGAGAAGAGGAACCTGAACAGTATCTCTCTCTCTCTCAAAATAGACTTCTTGGTTTATGAATTGGTTTTCTTAGATTACTTGAATTAATCAAAATTATTTATCCATGATCGAATAGATTTGGGTAATTGCTTTCTTATTGAAGTGTGTATATCCTTAGAGCAGAAGTGCTGTTTAAAAAGAAAATAATTCTTATTTGAAATTTTAAAACTCATTTAAGAATTACCAAATGATTGTTTCTGAAAATTAAATTTTGAGGGCTTAAATGATGCCCATCTAAAAATTGGATCGCCCTTGACAAGATTTTCTATTTGAGGCAACTATGTAGTGTTTTTTATTTTTGTTTTGTTTAAGCGGTTCTTGATTTCTAACTGCGGACTTTATTTTATTCCTTCAATGCCATAATACTTCGTAGTTTGGTTATCAGTTGAAAGTTGAGTACCCAATATTGTAAGCGAAAGTGGTTAAAGAAAAGTTCAATTACTAATCATAGTTATCAAAAGCAAACTGGGCCACTTGGTTGGGACGATTATCAAAGCCAGACAGGTCCAATCATTTTTACTTCTGACCAATGCCTTGGGCAATCCAATCTAAAACAAAAATCTGAGTTGATTGAAAATCTGTCATGTCAAAATTGTTGCTTGAGCAGTTTTTGGCAATCAAGTATTTAGATTTTGACCGGTTCAATTTACTAAGCAAAATTGAGAAACCTTTCTTTTAATATATTTTATATTTGAAACTATTATTCTTATTTTTTTTATATTTTATAAGAATGTGGTCGATTTTAGTGGTCAAATTGGTTTTGATTGGACCAAGCTCTTTAAAAAATCGATGGCCAATTAGCCCGTAGAACCAATCAAAACCGAATAGGTTGATGGCCAATTGGCCCGTAGAACCAATTAAAACCGAATTGTTCGACTGGTTAAAATTGATTAAAGATTGATTTTGATTGATTTTCGTCCAAAGCATATCTTTGGTTAAGACGAACCAGCCAGGACACCAGTCAGCCCAGCCGTTCAGATTGATCAATTTCAAATTTTTCATAAATAAAGTTTAAGAGAAACTTTTAGCAATGTCTTTCTTGGGGATCACATGTAATAACCCTAACGTGCCACGAAATCAGTACATACCTGACATAAAGCAAATGTAATACAAAAGGACTCAAAAGTTATTTTACAAAATCATTAAGGCTGTCAAAAAATCCCAACAAATAATGACGGGTTTAACTTTATAAAAATTTAGTAACTTTTCTATTTGAAATCATTTTTGTATAAAGTAAAACTTAAATCTATGAGGTAAGAGGGCGTGAGAGAGCTAAGTTGGGTGTAGAGAGAGAGAGAGGTGACGGCGTGAGAGAGTTTGGGAGAGGAGAAAAGATACAGTTTAGGCATGGGATATGTACATTTTATTACGGCAATTCGTCATTATCAAAATATTTTTTTAACTAATTTGGATCAGCTACACGAATCTTGATCTATCATTCTACTTTATTAAGAGCCACACCTTCGATAAGGCCATAAGTTCCCATAATTTTTCTCACCACTTTTAAATATATGTTATTGGGCCTACCCCTTGCCTTGTTTTAGGCTTCCACTTGAACTAAATCTCACTTATTTACAGATGTTGTACTAGGTCTACGTCACATAAAAAGCCCGTCCACCTAAATCTACTTTATGGATGTCATACTTAAATCCTCCCAAATATATTCATTTTGAATTCTATTCCTTCTTGTATTGTCACTCATCCATCTCAACATCATCATCTCAACTACGTTTATTCTATAGTTGTGTTATTTATTGACTGCCCAATATTATGCCCCATCAAGAAAGCTAGTCTCACAGCTGTCCTATAGAACTTGCCCTTCAGCTTTATTAATAAGCGACGATCACATAAAACTCAGGTTCCACATCTCTACTTCGCCCACCAATTCTAATTTTATGTGTGACACCTTCCTCAATCTTTCTATTTTCCTAGATTAACGATCCAAGATATCGAAAGTATGCTCTTTTCAGTATTTTTTTATGTCGATGTTAACTACTTCCTCGTTCTCTATTCATATTATTACTAAACTTGCATTTCATATACTATGATTTAGTCTTGCTAATTTTAAAACATTTAGATTCTAGAGTATCCCTCTAAAGTTCTAACTTTGTCGTGATGCTGCTTCGAGTCTTATCAATCAAAAGCATCTTGTCTGCAAAGAACATACACCACGGTATCTCATCTCATAGGTGCCTAGTTAAGTCATCTACAACTAAGACAAAGAGGTATGAGCTCAAGTGCTGACCCCCTTTATGTAGACCTATTGTCATTGAAAGCTCAATCCTCGCTCCACTAGTTATTCGTACATTAGTTAGCGCTCCCTCGTACATATCTTGTTTGGTCAGCCAATCAATGCCAATCTCCTCAATGCACTTCAAAACATCTATCAAAATACCATCTGGCCCTAAAGCATATCCCATTTTCATCCTCTTCAAGGTGTCTTTTACTTCCGATATTCTAATCCTATAAATGTATCTATGACCCCCTAATGAATGCCAATATTTTTTCTACTACTGTATTCCCATTGTGTTCATCATTTAATTTTAAAAATAAACTCTCCACCTTTTGTTAACCTATTCATCATTCGTTACGACCTTTTGAGCCACACTTTTAATGCATTTAATATGATTTAGACCCTCACTTTTTTCTCTCATTTTTGCTAATTGAAGACATCATTTTCAGCTTTTCTTTGTCACTAGTTTACTGTATAGATTATGATATGCCTTAAGTTTAATTTTATTTATTTATTTAACGTTCTTTTTAGCATTTTTATATTCTTCTAAGTTTTGATCATTTTTATTACATTGCCAAGTTTTATAACATGATCGTTTTTGTTAATGAACTTCTGAACCTCATCACTCCACCACCAAATTTCTTTTTTGGAATTTATTTTCCCTCTATATGTTTCTAAAACTTCTTTTGCCACTTTCTTAATACACTCAACCATCTCATTCCACATAATATGGACCACATATTTATAGTTCTATTTTCTTTCTTGAACTAATTTATCCCTAAATAAGTTTATGTTCTTATTTTTAAAATTCCACCATCTAGTTCTTTGACATCTATTTATTTCACTCCTTCTCTTCCCTGTCTTAATACATATGTCCATAATCACGAACCTATGTTGGGTACTCAAACTCTCTCCTAGGATAACCTTACCATCTTTACATGATGATCGATCTGTCTTCTTAACTATGCGATCCACTTTTATAGGTTATTAAATGTTCATCTTTTTTGTTAAAGTAAGTGTTAGCTATTACTAGGTCATATGCCATTTTTTTAATTAGGGCAATTAAGAGGAAATAAAGTAGGGACACGGAATGGGAAGAAATATTTTTGAGAAAGTATTATGCTGCTAGATATTTATAGAATGGGAGCGGATACCATGAAACTGATCTCAATTTTAGGGGAATATATTTACCTATTATGATATAAAGATGCAGTTTGCATAAGGTTGCAACCTTAAACAATCAAAATAAGGCGCACATCAAAACTTTGTCATTGAGTGCAATTTTTGTATAAAAAATTCTTAGGATGGTACAAGAAACTATTTTTTCTATGATTATAAAATTTTAAACTCCAAAAATAGTTCAAATCAAGTAGATCTATAAAAACATAAAATTTAAAAAATGAACAATCTTAAGATAATATGTTGCAAGATGTACTATTTTTAAAACTTGAAATCTCTTTTTTCCTTCATATTTGTATATTTTGATCTCAAGATGATCAATTATGTCTTTTTCCAACATATAAACAACTTTTCTCGAAGAATTTTAGACGTGCACCTTAATTCTATATCTTACGGTGTCAACCTTATATAAACTTTTTCCATATAATCACAATAAGTTGGGTTAACCTAGACCCAGAGCTGAGTTGACCGGGTCTACATTTCCAAAAATAGCACCCAGACCCAAATACGTGTAGATCAGGTTTGTGGGTTGACCCAACCTGTTTCCCACCCCTAAAGAGTATACCCCACGAAACATAGCCAATTTAGTTGTATGCATGTCTCACTCTCCTTCCATCACCCGTCAACCCTTAGATCAAATGATGATAAGCCTTATGACTAATGCTGTTATCAATGAGCACGTGGATCATGCTATAGGTTTCTACATTGATGTGGTCTGACCATTTCATAAAATCGCTCAATCTAACCGCCCGGTTAGATAGAAACTGGCCAATGGCCGGTTTCGGTTTTGGGCAGATAGGGTGATCAACCGGTATTTAAAAAACAAAAACTCAAAAAAATGTATATAAATTCTCAAAATGAAGAATTTGATTTGTAATGCATTTTTAAATATTCTTTACATTAAGGTAAAGATTAAAAATTGTTTTGGTCATTAATACTCACTTTTATATTTTTCCATTATTTTTAGAAAATTTTAAAAATATTCCTTGGAAAATATAAAATGGATTAAAATCTATTTTTTCAATAATTTTCAACTTCATTTGAATGTGTTTTGTTTTAATTATTCTTTATATGTTTTTCATATTTTAATAGATTTTTTTTTTTTAACACTTTTTTTACCACCCGAGACTTGACCGGTTAAAGCGGTTGAATAGGCCGGTTTATCGATTAAGCTGGTTAAACTACTTCCAGTCCCATATCCGATTAACTATTCCAATTCGATTTTGCGAACACTGGATTTGACCGAAATTTTGGGATCTTAAATATTGGGTCGTCTTAAATATTGGGTCTGCATAATATGTGATCCATGTGATCATGGAAAGCTCATGGCCGGGTTATCAACATCCCAACATAGGGTTGAACCTAAATATCATACAAGGGAATCAATACTACTATAACCATATGGATCATATTATATTTTCTCTTAAATATTTGCAAATGAAACTCCTAGTCGATGACCTTGCGTATTTGTTTTCCGTCTTTTTTTAATTTATTTTAAACCGTTTTTTATCTTCTTTAACCTTCCCTTAATGAGGAGTTCATATTCCTGCTATTTCTAAGTATTTCATGGGGTGCTAAAACCTACATGTTTGCCAGAAACCCCTCCAAACGCTCTCATTCACCATGCAGAAAATTTTCGGACTTGATTTCATTTATAGATTTTTATTTTATTATTTTGACATTTTACGAACTTTATCGATAATTCTAAGAAATACAAAAATTACATAGACAAACTTCATTTGCTTCCCTGTAGACATGCACCACCAAACAGCTGCAAATGTCCAAAATCTCTAGAGAATATCTCAAACTCCATGGTGGCATTCCCAACTTGTTGCACTAGCTTGCTACATTGAGAGTCCCCCTCCATAATACAACAACAATCAACATATCTACTCTTAATTAACTTAGAGTAAAGCTACAAACACTTGGCAGCTATAATGAATAGTAATATAGGTGGAATTTCAGTCATCAAATCTTCATCGGGTGGTTCAAAATACATATCACTATCTGAATTTTAATATGCATATCCAAAATTTCATCATGATCCAATTTTGTAAAAAAATATTAAAATTCAAATAGTGATATGTATTTTGAACCACCCGATGAAGATCTGACGGTTGGGATTCCACCTATCTTACTATGTATTATAGCTACCAAGTTTTGTTAGTTTTTTCTATTAATTTAACCCTGCAAAAGTGCCACAAGTTCAACTTTATTCACTGTCGACAAACTGCAAGGACCATAACAACAAAAAAATCACTTCACCATTTGAATTTCGGACCACTCCACTAAATACTTATAGAAATTTTATTTGTGAATTTTTGGTTCGAATTTTCTTCTTTTCCATTTGTGAGGCAAAAGCATAGCTCAATTTTTGCAGGTATTGGCAAACTGCTGGAGAGAGAGAAGGGGAGAACCCCATGAAGACTCCCCTACCATACATCATCATCTTTGGGATGTCGACCCCATTCGTAATATTAGCCATTGCTTTTGCCAACGGTTGGATCAAGGTTCCTGTGCGATGATGTGCAACAGATTGAAAATTCATCACTGCTTTTCAAGGTTATGTTATGTCATACATATGTTAAAAATGTTGTGCGTTCATTTTTTTTAATGGAAAATTGTTTGATAAGGTTGTAGCCTTATCAAAATAAGTAAGGCCTCACTTCATAACTCATCGAAAATTATGATTCAAGCATTGGAAAATATTTGCATCGATCATCTTAGCTTGTACATTATGATTGTGAAAAAAAATTATAATTTCAAGCTCTAAAAATATATTGTGACAAATTATCTTAGATCGTCCATTTGGCTATAAAAATAAGTGTTTTTATATTTTCAAGATTTGTATCATTTTTTGAGTTTCTAATTTCATTATCGATGTTGAAAATTGATTTTAGAGTCATCATAGAGATTTCCATTGCCGAAAGTGCTTTCTTGACAAGGATTTTAGGTGAGGCTTTATTTTGTTTTCATAAAGCCTAGGCCTTATAGAAACTTCATCATGTTTTAATTTTATAAGTCACATCCTAGCCCTTACTCATTTTTAAGTACTAATAAGCCCTTAATGAATGAATAATATTCACTGTTTATTGGGATTGTATACTATGAGACCATTTGTCTTTGTTGCAAGTAAGTCACAATTACTCCTAGCGATTAGATATGAAATTGGATTGCTTGAGGTGCCATGAAGTTCAATAAATTCTTTTTTGAACTTTGAGTCTAGTGAATTACAGTCTTACAACCACCTTATTTGAAATCTGATGGACAAGAGTGATTATGACCTCCTTATACCAAAAATGAATGTTCTCTTTCTATCCTTTTTGTAGTTTATTCGTCAAATTCCAACTAATGGTTGCGAAAGCCACAGAGTCAACACTCAAGACAGCCAAATATACAAAAGATAAATGGATAACATGCCAACTCTAGATTTTTGTTCACTTTCTTTACCCGAAGAGTTTTTTCTTTTTTCTTTTTTTGTTTTTTCATTTTTTGTTTTGCCTATGTAGTGGTGAACACCAAAGTAGAGCGTGTGAGATTTTTAATTTTTTTGGGTAATTCAGTGGGGATGACAGACTCTTCCCATTTATTCCTATGAATTGGGGAATTAAGTTTTCTTGAAGGTATCAAGTGTCAACTTGGTACCTTAGTATGGACCTTCTACCACTACGATCCAGCCCCTTTCCTAGTGGGTGAGAAACTAGCATGAGGAACTGTCCACATCTAGAAATATTTTGAAGACGATTTGGGGAGCTTCTAAAAGACATAGATTTTCACCCAAAAGCACATCCAAACTTAAATAGTACTAGAATTCTACAAGTCGGCCTCAATTATCAAAAGGAGGTTACCAACCCCATGTAACGGAGATTGATCATTTAACTCGACTTCAGTGGCTACAAGACGGCAATCCAAGTATTTAGATGAGACCAAAGTTTTAAAACTGGATTTGTCACGGCCTGGATTACCATGAATTCAAATCCAATTGGGTGGCCAGATTGGTCGTTAGACGGACCGGTCTATGATCGCCAATTTGGGGAGAATGAGACCAACTCTGCATCATGGTTGTCGGTCCAAAAAAGAAAATTAAAACATTATTTTTTAATTTGAAAATATTTTTAAAATAAAAAAATAAAATAAAATGGGTAGAAAATATGCACTTCTATTTGACAAAATTGCCTGATACCTTGAGCGACTTGCTCGATTCTCTGACATTCTCCTATAAAACCAGGCTAGTCACTCAACTAGATCAATTCCTACTGTACATGGCAAACAATAGGGTGCCCACCAATGCTGATCCAGACTGGCGGTCGAGTGATTTAGACCAATAAAAGCAGCCACGAAAAATTCCATTAGTCACGAGAGAATCAGGTTAAGTTTACCCATTGAATTCATCTAGCCCTGAAACAAATGAAATTTGGAGAATTCAGTGTTTGCAAAACCAGCCGGATTGACCCAGTCACAGCCGTGTTACCAAGAACCGGACAATAGCCATGGCCGATTTTGGCCAGTTGCTACTTAGGGCGGTCAAGCCAAGAACTTAAAAAAACTTCAAAAAATTATAAAAAATCTAAAAAAATAAAAAATTTGTTTGCTAGCTTGTTAAATATGTTCTATTTGCTTTAGAGAAGATTGGGAAGCACTTTGACTGTAATACTTTTTTTTACATTTTTTTTTCTTTTTTATTATTTCAAAGATTTCTATAATACCCCTTGGACACAAATGGATTTCACGACTTTTTTAATCGCATTTGGATATATTTGTTTAATTATATTTTAAACATACTTTTTGGGACTTTTTTGTAAATTTTTTGAACCCTTTTTAATTACCAGGACCAGCCCATGGCCAGGTTCCATTCCCCGGTCAAGTTTTCTAACAGTGGAAGAATCCAGAATTCGAATCGCGGCAATATCACTGCCAAGGGAGAACTTTAGCACTAGCAACGCATCTTCTATTGTTGCACTTGGTTGCCGTTCTAGTTTGGAGTCCAAATCCTAAGCTCGCCAAAATCTCTCTCTCTCTCTCTCTCTCTCTAAATTCACAAATACAAACCAAATCTTACCACAAATAACATGAGGCACACCTACGTAGAAACTAAATTACTCTCATGTGGCATGTGGAAATGGAAGAACCACTAATATCAAATGTAAACATATACCTCGAAGTCACTAACCATAAATAACGATACATCACCCACTACTAATGTCAGTACTAGTAATGCTCTATCCTGTAGAAGGAATTATCTCTATAGACAGTTTGACACCAAAGCAGTCCTATCTCTCTCTCTCTCTCTCTCTCTCTAGTGAGAAGACCTCTCAAACTGTGACTCATGGCAGTGGGGGTCAAGCCAATCTCGAGGAGAAGTCTTTGACATAACAGCGCTTACCTTATTACCCCCACCAACTATCTCTCGAATCTGCTCGACCTTGTTTTCACGACCAACACCAGAAAATTTCTTGTCAGCGTCTTTAAGTTTATGCTTGAGTCGTTGCTTCCGGCCCGAGGCACTCAGTTCTTGTTGCTTAGTGAGAGAGGGAGGAGCACCGTGTGGACCCAAGTATATCTTCTCTTCTTTGTTTATCTGTAAAAAGCCCCCACATTAGTCATTCAAAAAGCTCAAAGTTCTAAATCTAGAACTTAATTGGTTAGCACTTGACAATTTGTATCGCTACAGCCTAGGCTCAATTCCTACAAGCGAAGGGGTCCTCTCCCCACTGACTCACCAAAAAAAAAATCTAGATGAGAGAGAGTTGGTGCTTCTTGACATGTGCCCTGGATGAGAAAGACTTTATGAGAGACATTAAGGCCAAATATTTATTCATTGTGCATATTGGTGCATCTGTAACATCAGTCTCATGAAAGGAATTCCAGAATAATGAAACAGAAGTTTTCAGATGGAAAATTGCAGCCAAATACTAAATTACAGAGGAATCTACTGTAGGAGACAAATGGATGCAAAATACTAAATGTGAGAGAAACTTAATGGCGGCTTATCAGAGAAATGTGGTTAGATATTAAATGTGCAAAAGAATTGAGAGAAAGTTCAGGCCAAAATCTAAATACTAGTAAGATTTGGAGGCCCTGAAGATGTTGTGTTGACAGAAATTTATGAAAGAGAAAGGCAGCCTAACCTTTGGAGAGGAAGGCTTTGAATCATTTGCTGTAGGTTCATCCGGCTCACTCAAATCCTTTTGTCCCAATCCCAAGCTTGGTATCACAAAACCATCTGCATCTGAAATATTCCAAACAAAATTTTCCACAAGAGTCGCAAATCCCACAAGCCAAGAAGTAAACACACAACAAACCCAACAATCCGTAAAATTGGAAAGGCTTCATGAATTCATTAACATGCATAAAATAAACAGGCAGTCAAGACCATAGTTGCTGGAATCTCGCACCCCAAGTGGCAATTCCTATACAGAATACCGATCCTGCAATTCCATCAAGGAATTTTTATTGAACCCATTCCCTTGAAGTCAGGAATCTCGATTTAACATTTAGGAATCTCGGTTCTACTCTTTTTAATCTTGATTCCAACATATTCTGAATTTCGATTCAACATTTGTTAAATCTCGATTCCACATTCTTTGAATCTGGATTCCATTTTTGAGGAATCCAGTCCCACAGCAGTATATTTTTTATTACATGTATTTTTTACTCTCTTCTAATCATAAAATCTCTGTCACCCTTTCTCCATAAGTGTGCTTGTGATGTTGAGATTTTTAGCACTTGTTCCACTAACGCTACAATACAATGTGATGTAAACAAAAACATGTTATTCGATCGCTTTCTCTCATTAAATGTACTCACTTTCACTTCATCATGTCAATTGAATAGTATATTTGGAAAATGAGGTTAGGGAATCCTAGACATTTCTAATAGTGCTAGAACCTGGTGGCTATTTTTTAAAGATATTTGGGAAAAAGATTTGGGTCCAGTTCAGATTACATTTCTAAGAGTGGTAGAATTGGCGACTTTTTTTAATGAATACAGGGAAGGAGATTTGGGTTCCATTTGTATTACAACACAGTACAACACAATGGCCTAAAGAAATTCGTTTTTTACAACTATAAATATGAAATCAAAATCTTTCAAATATGCATCAGTTAATATTTGTATTTTTTGTAAACACTATCATAAATCCCCTGGTAGACCATAGGCATTTGTTAATTGTACTTAACCCAAATCTAGCATTATGGCCACTCAACCTTAATTCTTATACTGCAATTAAGGTTCAATACATCGATTTCAATGGCAAGGGAACCCCTGTTCAGGTCTTTATAACCTTTGAGGATCTCGATTCCCATATTAGGGGAAGCATGGCTAGGCATACCCAATACATCAATTCCTATACCAAGGGCTTCTTGCATAAGATTACATCAGAACCTCGAACCTTTTGCCCTAAGAAACAAATTTCCTGATGATTTCTGATGTGGTTCTAAGTTGTCAGGTGTGCGATCCCATAGATGTGGAAATATCTATTACAATTGGATTGAAACTCAATCCCATAGAAGTAGGAATCTCGATTCCGTGTGGGTTGAAACTCGATTCCAAAGTGCTATCAATCTCGATTCCAATTTGTCTGAAACTCAATTCTAAAGAGGTAGGAATCTTGATTCCATTTGGGTTGAAACTTCACTCCATAGAGGTAGAAATCTTGATTCCATTTGGATGGAAACTCAGTTCCGATAAAGCAGGAATCTCGTTTCCTGCAATTCCCCATGTACAGATAGCGATCCCCACAACAAGAATCTTCCAGCCACCCGTGATTCGCGATTCACGATTCTGATTCCTAAATCGATTTGGAATCTCAGGACTACAGTTATGGAGAAACCCTCTAGAAATCCATAAACCTCGAACATTAGCAGACTAGCAGCTAATCAAGTCTGGCCAGTTCCTCTTGTACATACTCTTTCACACACCACAGAATAGCTTTACAAAACCTTTTTCCTCTTTCTTTACTTTTAGAGATCAAGCAGCCAATTAGGAGTCCCATGCAAACCTAAAAACCCAATAGAGTGGTCTTCTAAATTTATCAAGTTAGACCCAAAAAAATTAGAACAAAATACAACTTTTCTACTGCTTATATGCCCAGTGTCAGAATGGAGAATCATATGTTACTTGAGATCCCCTAGACTAGCCCCCTCAAGCTCTATCCCAACCTGATCTCCCAACATAGTGCTCCACTATTCTAAAGTGGAATTGTATAGGCATATAACTGTGATAATTTTACCATCTACTAAAACTTGCTAAACACCCTAAGTTAAAAATTCAACTACACCAAGATTGACATATCAACAAAATGCCCATGGATTCAGCTTCCAAAACTAAGCACACAATAAGGAACTTTTAGAACTTGCCAAGATTCAAATTTCAGCTGCATGGCCGAAGCTAACTGCCCTAATTGAGCAACCTAGGTGTTGAGGTACCTAGGAGTCCGCATAGGTTCTTGAGGGAGGGGCTGCCTAGGCACCAGCCTGTGCCCATGAGCCTAGGCGGTGAGATGTCCATGGCGAGGGGGGAAAAATGCCCTTGCCAAGGGCAAACAACATAATTATCTCACATTGAAAAGGGGGAAAAGGGTTTTGGGAGGCGATCCCAACCTTTAAAACCATTTTTGCTAGCTTTGGAGCGGAGAAGAAAAAAATTCCACAACACTAGATTTTTTACTTTTTTGATGATCAAGCAAATCTCAAACTTCAAGAAGTCGAAAAGAATTCAATCCTATACTTTTTGTTGTTTAAAGTGGTTTAAAAGAGGACTTAGACTGGCAACCAAAGATCGCCAATTCGAACCAAGATCAATTGCATTTTGAAATATTAATATATTTAAACTTTTGGGTAAGAGTTTGGTGATGTTTATAAATGTTGGGTTTTTATTTTATTTTTTTTATTTTTCTTTTTGTACCTGTACTTTTTTCAAAGTTTAGCTTAGATTTGGTAATCATATTCAAGAGTGGTTTTGGTTTGTGTTTAATGCCATTTTATTAAGATTGGGCAACCCAATCTCAATAGAATGTCATTAAATTAGCCGATCTTAATAAAATGGCATTGAACCTAATCCACATGGATTTTCTCCCTACTTTTTATTAGTCTTTTCCATTTATTGGTGATTTCTTTTTAATATTTGGTGTTGCATAGTGATTTTTTCAATATTTGGGTAAGTGGATTATCATTTTGTAAATTTTCTTGTAGTTTTGATTCTTCTTTTGAATTTGTAAATTATTAATTACTTCTTTAGGTTGGGTAACTTCAGTGTTTCAAATTTCAATACTTTTTTGTGAGAATGGCATAGGGTCTTGGCGGTAGTATTGCCGAGCCTTATGTTGAGGTCTCTAACTCCATTCTCACCAGAGGGTAGGGGCCCAAATCCCCACTGACATACTACTTTTCACTTACCCAAAAAAAGTTTCAATACTTACTTGAGAATGGGGATATGGTCGTGATAGTAGTACCACTTGTGTCCCAGCTAAGGTCTAAGCTTCCATTCTCACCTAACACATTGAAAAACCACTAAGGATTTAAAAAAGAGGGTAAGGGCTTGTCATCCCCACTGAATTACCCAAAAAAAAAAAAAAATTTCAAATATCTACTTATCCCCTATATTTTACTTCTGTCTCTTGAGACCCAAGGAATGAAAATATTACTTGTAAAAAAAAGGTCTCTATTTTTCTATCTTACAACCTCCTGACCCATTTGAACATGAATTTTTTATCCAAACAAAAACTAAAATGACACCCTCAACACTTTTGTTTTCCTTTCACCTTTCTCCCAAAAGGTTTTCCAAACTCCCTCTCTCTCTCTCTCTCTCTCTACCCACACTCTCTTTCTCTCTCTAGCCAAACTCCCTCTCCCTCTACCCTGCCTCTCTCTCAATGCCCAAACTTCTCTCTCACCAGAAATGAAAAGAGGCGATGATGGGCTCCAGGAAATGCCACTGGAATCTGAGACACCAAGCTCTTTGAAAGCCATCACGGCATTGTTCAACCTGCTCCATTTCCCAGTCTCCAAGTCAATGGTTTGTGCCGCAATTGCACTTCTCAAATCAGCAAAGCTCTTCATCACTATAACATCAAAATCAGGGGCCATTGCCAATACCCTGTAACCTTTGGTCAACAGAGGCCCAGACTTGAGAATCCTGAACCAAGACCTATTCTTTTTGAGCCACCTGATCTTGCCATCTACAGTGGTGTTTAATGGGGGAACTAAAGAGTTCTCATTGTCCTCTTTTTGTGTCAAAAGCTTGAAGCTCCGATGGGTTTCAAGCTCTTTAGAGAGATGATTTTCTTCTTCCTTGAGAGCATACATGACTGAAACTGTTCATGGACCCCTGACTGTGTTTTCCAGTGAGAAATGGGCGCTTTTCGATGTGGGCTTTACCGGAAAAGGGAGATGGAGGCAGAAGATGGTGACTCCATTGCAGACCGAGAGTAAGAGCAAGAGAGCAGCTAGAGAGAAAGTGGGTAAGAAGAAGAGAGAGAAACTTCTCAGTGAAGAAGTAGTGATCTTTTGAAGGTTAAGACGAAGGGTTCTGAGCATGACCACCATAACTGACTGCTCTCATCTTCTCACAAGTTCGAGATAGGGAGGCTGATGCAGAAGAAAGTGGCCTGCCATTAATGGCGGGGCAAAATAAAAATGCATCTCACTTTCTAGAGAGAGAGAAAGAAATAATTATCAAGCAAAAGAGGTTTTTAGAGAGAGAAATGGAATCGATAAACCGACATGTCCTTTAATGGCACGGCAAAATCGAAAAAGCATTTTTCACTTTGAAGAGAGAGAGCAAGAGAGGTAGAAGAGAAAAGAGGGGGAAGGAGTTGAGGGTGTCATTTTAGTTTTTTGTTTGCGGTCAAAAATTCATGTTCAAATGGGTCCAGGGGGTTGTAAGATAGCAAAAATTGAGACCTTTTGCTTACAAGTAATATTTTCATTCCTTGGGTCTCAAGAGATACAGAAGTAAAAAAAAAGGGATACGGAGATATTTTCCCAAGAAAAAATTCAATACTTACTTTAGTGTTGCATCCAAGACTAATTAATTGAGTCTTGTAAATCACTAAATACTACATTATCAAATAGTCAATTCTTAAATTTTGCATACATACTTTCGATTTTTAAATTAATCAATTTTTGTCTTCTCAATATTGCAATAGTGGCCTTTCTTAATAAAGTTTTTGGTTTGTATTGCAGGATTTAGGTGAAGTTGTCTTCTTCTAGTTCTAAAAAACAACTTAGA